TGAAGCAAGAACCCAAATACATAAATTAAAAATATTTAGTACAAAATTAAGAAACGACTTTCCAAAAAATGTACCTTGAGTTTTCCTTGATTGTCATTTAGTGATATCAATTAATCTCAGACTTCAAATAGTGTAGTTGAAATATTGCTAAGATTCTTCTTAAGACGATTTTCCGATATTTATTTTTCAAAACGATCTGTAAATTTCAATAACACGAATTTCCTTTAACATTTTACGCTTAGGTTATTACTCTTAAATACCATTTTATTGTCAAAAACTGTGATAACATCTAAGGCAAAAATCAGAATATTTGGTTAATAAAATAATCAAGGAATCATGATTACGTACATCATGACATTTGCCATTCCTAGATTGTGTCTCTTTTATTGACACAACTCACTCAGGTGTTGTTTTTATTTAAAATCTGTAGCTTGATACATTTTTCCTTGGTAATAATTTATTTGAAGAATTCCAAAAAGCAACTAAGATGTGGGAAGAAAATAGAAACTCTGCTCGGATGAAAACAATCGAATTGTATATCTTTTACTCGGATGAAGGTAAAACAAAAAACATTCGGCATCAAAACGCCAATGAAGACATATTTACACTAAATATACAAAAACCTTATTTAGAAATATCTGACCTATAATTATCTACTATTTTTTACCTTTAAAAATATCAAATTTTGAATGTTTTGATATCATTTCAGTTATTCACCAATGAAAGGAATCATTAAAACAACACACGAAATTTGAAGCTTTAAACTATGTATTTTTGTATTTATTATTCACCTATATTTTTTCCTAAAGTAATACCAATCATGAAGGACTTATACTATTCAGCGGTTAGAAAACAATATTATGTAAGTGTACCATATATGGAAGTTCTGGACTATTTTTCTATGTTGGCTCCCATCCTGCCCTTTTTCAAAACTAATGTAGTCATCCGACATCATGAATTTTTTTTGACAGCTATATTTCTTTTTTTGTAAAATAACCAATCAAATTTCCGTAAAATTTTGTTGTAGTCTTTTCAGCCTTGCTTTTGTTATTGTTAAATGCAGTTCAAAACTTACAAATTCGAATAAATTAGGAGAAAAACCGACCAGAACAGTCACTTGTCAAATATCAAAATATCTACATAATCAGTTTATATCTTCAATAACTTCGTCAAAACAGAATCTAGGATGCTGAAACCTTTAACCGAGTGTGACATATATATTGCATTATGGAATAGACATACTAATGAACTTCAAAATAACAAAGAAACCTACTTGCCTGGCAAAAATTCGTTCACCCGTTTCAAAAAATCACGCCGTGTTCGCCATTTTGTCAAGTTTGCAACCAATTCGTTCGCTTGAACCAAGTGTGCAACCACTTCACGTCCTGCCCCTTGGATAATCGACCTTTTGAATACTTGACCCTCCGGCTGAAGCCCTCGGAAGTAATACATGTATTTATTTGTCGCACCGATAATCATCTTGTGTCCCTAATCCGCCGTGTAATACCGCTTCATTTGTCAAAGTATTTGTTATCGATCCATCAATGTAAAAATCTGATTTATTAAGTCATGAAATGCACATTTTTTATTTAATTTGTAATTGATAAAACACTGTGTGATATATAAATAATGTTAAAAGAAAAGCCCAGACGCCAAAATTTAAAGTACAATTCCCTTACATTCAATAAATATTTAACAGAAGTTACATTACTGTTAGAGTAAATCTGTCATTTTTATGTTTTAATCGAGATTTTAAATGGCAAGGGCGAAAAGAATGTTTAACACATAGTACGCTCAAATATATCAGTACGTACCAAACTTATAGACATGTATATGCAAAACGACATGTTTTGTCTTTTATCTTGGATATGTTTTTACAAAAGTTAAACGTTTCATTATTTTGTTAAACGATAGAAGAACAATTACTCCAATATTGATATTATATTGTACCATCGATATATGATTTTGCATTTAATCCCGAGTATTTGGGAATCATTTTACATTATATCAGCGGTGATATTAACGATAACTGCTTCAAGAAAATAAGTAATCTCCGTGTGTCATTACTTGTCGGAAGCCAACTCCGGGAGCTTCCCAATGTAATAACTAACCTACTCTCGTGATAGACTCCTTCCAATAGATAGAAAGCATGAAATTGTCATGCGGGACAAGCACATATTATTATATGAAATATTCAGTGCTATTTTATATGTCTGCCTGACTAAGGATGTCTTCTAAACTTCAGAATTAAATCGATTTCAGTGACTTTATTGTATTTTTCTCAGTCGCTAATATTTGCATGTGTGTTGTAAAAGAAGTGATTTTACAATTGAAAAACATTGTTAAATAGTAAATTTATTAATAAAATTTATCCAGACTAGACTAACAGGAACCATCATATTAGTACACCAAAGAACTTGTTTTTGTTTTTAAGTCCTCAAGGATGAATTTCATTTTGTATTGGAATGTAAATTATTTAGTGGTATAAGACGTTTGGTACCTACTTACTAATTAACAAAAGGTTTTTTTTAAAATATAAGAGGATACCAAAGATTAAAAACGTTTGAAAAATAAAAAAGAACGCGTTTCTGGGACATAATGGGGCTTTCAATGATTTCTTTTAGATTATAAAATTAAATTGAATTTGATCAATGAAACTTTTTTCATCTTTTTCATGTAGTCATAATCATATGTTTTGAGTCATTTCAATGTTTTTAAATGATGTCATTTTGCTTTTATAATGGTTAAAATATATCAATCGTTTATTCTTCCTCTCGAAAATTACTATTTTGAGAGATATTATTTGCAATAGATCAAGTCGCAAAAATAGATATGGATAAATGGGCAGGCAATTATCGAAAAATGAAATATTCAGTATTATTTGTTTTGTCTAGACGTAAATGAAGAAGCGAAGAGATCTGGAAGAAACAAAACGACTTTAAAAATATTTGTCTCAATCGATAATATCAATTAATCAAAAAAGAATACTGTAGCAATATATAACAAGAGCTTATGGTAGGACAGCAACGCTCGACTATTCTTAGTGCTTGATAGTAAAAGAGCATTGATAATGTAAAAGTTTCAAAGTTAACAAAAAGGCAAAGATTTTCTTTAAATCTATGTTACAGTTATAGGCCATAGCGAGAGTCCTATTATGCTCTCAAAAAAGAGTATAAAATTTCAACTTGTATCAAAGCCAGATGTCAAAAGAATATGAAAATAAGTCAATAGAATATGTAAATAAATGTAAATTCTAAGTTGAAAAGGGGGCATTATTCTGTCAAAATGCTTCATAGAGTAACCCCTAGTGTCTACAGGTTGGGTCATGATGGTGAACAAGTGTGAAAAGTTGCAAAGCTATATGTCAATGGACTTTGAAAATATTTGAACTATTACAAAAACTTTAACGTAAATTCTAAGTCGAAAAAGGGGCATAATTCTGTCAAAATAATTGATACAGTTACCTCTTCCTGTCTACAGGTTGGGGTTATGCTGGTGAACAAGTGTGTAAAGTTTCAAAGCCATATGTCAATTGACTTTTAAAATATTTTAACTATTACAAAAACTTTAACATAAATTGTAAGTCGAAAAAGGGGCATAATTCTGTCAAAATAATTGATACAGTTACCTCCTCCTGTCTACAGGTTGGGGTTATGATGGTGAACAAGTGTGCAAAGTCTCAAAGCCATATGTCAATGGTATTTGAAAATATTTGAACTATTACAAAAAAATTTACGTAAATTCTAAGTCAAAAAAGGAGCATAATTCTGTCAAAATGTTTGATACAGTTACCTCCTCCTGTCTACATGTTGGGGTCATAATGGTGAACAAGTGTGCAAGGTTTCAAAGCCATATGTCAATGGACTTTGAAAATATTTGAACTATTACAAAAACTTTAACATAAGTGGTTACGCCGACGCCGACACTGGGGTGACTACAATAGCTCTACTTATTCTGATCGAATATACACATTTTTTATTCCAATATGTTTTGAAATGACATGTGGTAAATGATTATATCCATGTTCGGAAAAGTAAACGAGTGACTAAAAATAAAATTCTGTCTTGAAACTGAATTGTTTAACCATAATGTTTTTACTATTTTAGTATATCATCGTGTTTTGTTAGCAATAAATCATTTATTTAGCTAACATATAAAGAAAACTGATAACTGATATCTTATTGGCCAGGAACGAATTCCAGTCCACTTTACGGAAGTAACTACTGCTGGTATTATGTAAGATACAAGGGATCCCATGATGACTATTGCCCACGCCTCCTGGGTAAAAGAAGGATAATTTGACCTTACGTCATTGATCCACTGAATTCAATCGCTATGCATCATTAACTGACATTAAATATTTTCGAAAATAACATCCATACACTGTGTCATTAATTCATTATATTCCTTAATAGTATCGAATGATAATTTCAATCAAGTAAACAAACCATTCTACAAAATCGTATTGAGGACCACATAATAAAGTGTCACTTGGAAGATAATACCAGAATCATTCACTATTTCAGGGTAGAAATCGTTCCTTAAAATAGTTTTCTAAAATATTTTTAAACATTTTGTACATTAAATTTTTGGACAAATGTCTCTCCGTTTCACGGTTTTCAAGTCAATAAATCAGCCAAAGTTCTACATGTAATTAGTAGAGTTGTTTAAAAGATGAAACTATGTGTAAGACAGAAAGGGATAAAAGGGATATGATTTATTTTAATTGATAATTGGGCAGTTACTACCGAGGAGAAGACAAATCAATATATGTTTTTGTGAAAAAAGTACTGATCGGGCTGAAGGTATTGACTTTTGCAAAAGAAAATAAAAATTAAAAAATACAATCATTATATATTTTAATAGAAATATAATGAGATGACTGTATTGAATAAAAACATTATTGCAAAACAAAAACAAATTCAAGTTACAAATATATAATCATAATGATATGAATGATTGAAATATTCATTTAAATATATACATTTATCTATATTGATAACACTTTCAAACCACATACAAAAAGGAACCGTTTCAAAATAAAGGAAATACTCTAAATGTGGACAACTATTTACATGTTTATAAAAGGAAAACAAGTGAAAAAGAGTATTATAATCAGGTTAGCTCTTAAAGTTATTTATTTCAATTAATCGTCGCAATGACCTAATAAAGAAAACATTAAGGCATATCAACAAATAGAAATTAGGCGAGTCACATATATAACGTCACATTTGATATGTGGGTATGAAATGGCAAATATTTCAGTATAAATTAGTTCTTGCAATTTACGCAATATTCTTAGATATCGGTTTTTAAAAATGATCAAGCGAGATAATTCAAAGACGAAATTTTAAAAAAATCATCTGAAGTTTCTTCCCTGCATACTTATAATAACAATATCCAAGTTTATCATTATGCATAATGCATTATGATATAAAGTTTAAACTGTCCTGTTTATGTATTGAAAGGCAATCTTTAAAGACTATGATTTTATTTCCCTTTTATCATTTTTCGTCATTTTACAATGTACATCCATCAGCTCATATATATAGATATATTTTAAAGATTTATGTTTTAAGAATTACAGACCTTAAATGGCAACTTTAAATTAAGACTCATTTGGTTTGCTTCTGACTCTATCCTGTACTGGAAGCATGTAGTCGAGGACTGACATGATTCCTTACAACTTGAGACGTGTGGGGCTCAATTCCACTTTTTTCTAAGAAAATAGAATTAATGCAAAGAAAACGTGTTCTGTGCTTAAAATATACAACAAAGTACGTATTAATGCTATTTTACTGTATATTTGAGTTTTGCGAAGCAAGGTTCGGTATGACATTGTACCAAATACAAGATGTTGTTGCGAAAAAGATATATATAGACGGTCTATATTTTTATAGCGTTTTGCATATCCTTGAAGATTTATGGAGATGTTCTACATATGGATTCTGGCTAAGACGGGTCAACCTTAGTCTATGGAAAGTGAGTCGGTTTAACGTACATGCAGTTATTTAGGATGAAAAACAAATGTTAAAACAACATTTATCGTTCGTTACTGAAAGTTATTTTGTTAATTGCCAAAGTCTAACATAAAAGCAAAAACTATTTCATATGCAAAATCACACCTTAAATAGTCCGAGGTGACTGAAATATGGGCCAAAATGAAAAGAGAGGTCGTGATACTACTCGTAATAACATTAATAGTACTTAACGATTGGATGATAACATTTGCTGTCATAACAATTAAGTTTACTAGCATAACAGTACAAAATACACCATTTGCATTTAGCTTTAAGTATTTACTTTACACACAGCATCACTTATGCCACTACAAATAAAGCAGACGCTTGTTTTTTTATGAAATCGCTGGATATATTCCCATGACCTCTCCTTTATTAATATTGACCTGAGTCTGATATTATATTTCCCTTGATACATGCCGGACTTCTTGAATGTAAAAATTCGGAAGTCATGCGACGCTAGTAAATAACAACAATCTAAAAGTAAATCAACAAAGAAATATTTGGTTGAAATGTAAGACAAAATAGATTTTCATTCATTATCATAAGCTGTTTCAAACCATTATTTATCAATGTTTCAACAGATATCCACTCGGTAGATTAAAGTCCGGTATTTCATAAATAATCTCTGTGATATGAATAACCACAAAAGCAAAATAAGTTTATATATATACATATATATATATATATAAGATTATTTATAAAAAGAAATATTTTCGGTTGCTAAAAATAAATTGTTAGATATAGATAAAGGCAATATCAATATAAAAATTATATTCTTTTTCCGGCAGAAGGCTAGTCTAAAATCTGTTTGACTTTCTCTCTGTTAAGAGTTAACAAGGAAGAAGTGAATATAAGAAGAGTTTTCATGGTCATTCTAAAATAACAAAAAATCTAGGAATCTCATTGGCTACTCTAACATAAAATGTAAGGGATAGTTCTTGTCATTCTGAGACAGTTCTAAACTAAAATGAAAAGGAAAGTTATTCCTGTTGTAAAATAATATACGAATAAATCTTTACTTTTCTACTAAGATTGCTTAGATATTTAGGTTCTGTTAACAATTTGTCTTCCAACAAAATAAATGCCTTGTGCTTTTTCAAATATTTTGCATATTAGCAAGTATTTATAAAAAAAATTGAATACCGACCGTTGGTGTAAAAAATCACTTACCGAAACACGACAGGTTCTAAACACATATATCCTAAAGTATCCAATTGATAACCCTACAGGAAATACATGCAATTATATTATTGTTACGCTAACAATTCTAAATGACTTTGCATGGTAAACTAAGAACATATCCATGTTTACCAGTTTTTATTCGGCTGGGCTTCTTTTTTTTAAGATACTACTTATTTAAAAATAAATAAATTTCCGAGAACAAATTCCTATCCTTATTCCTAAAAAACAAAATTTATCTAAAGTAAATCGACATTTCCTTTCTTTGCTCGAATACTTTAAAAATAAGTTATTCAAAACTATTTATGTTTTATATGTTTTCTACAAAAAAAAATTAAATAATTATGTAAGTATGATGATTATCATGATTAAGAATGAACAGATGTAATGTGAAAAAGTAGCTTCATATATATATAAGAAGTTCGATTCCTTGTGTTAATCTCATGTATAAAAAAGTATGTTTTGGGAAATGCAGAGTACAAAGTTCGTCAATGTTTTATACGTTAAATATATATATGAGCCGTGTCACGACAAAACCAACATAATGGGTTTGCGACCAGTGTGGATCCAGACCAGCGTGCGCGGATGCGCAGGCTGGTCTGGATCCATGCTAGTCGCAAACCCATTATGTTGGTTTTGTTTTGACGCGGCTCATATATGTATACTTGTTCTCATATAGACTGTTTAATATGAAAATAACATCGTTGAATCGTATGGATTGTTTATTTTGTTGTCAATAGAACAAGTGTTAAGTTATAAATAACAAATGTAATATACATATTATTGTCACAAGCTTTAAAAAGTAAATTAAAACTTGAAACATCTTGGATCATATCAATATTGTCTAACATTTCCCAAGACCATACCTTTCACTTAAATACACAGACTGAAAGTAAAGTTGATCCACTGTAAACGAGAAGAAGTCTTTAAACTTGCGTGGATTGTGCTGAATGCATACTTAATTTTCTGCTGATTTTCAAAGCATCTTGGTACAACCCTTCAAGAATTTTTTTCAGCCAGTAGTTTGTTGATTTGTATGATATGATTCCAGCTGTAATGCTTCCAATAATAGGTATCACGTATTTTGCAACTTCTTCCACTGCTTCCGATATGACAATGTTATTAAAGAGCGCTAGTAATCCTTTCTTTGTGCAATCAAGGAGCAATTCTTTCATATTAAGTTCCTTTTTCAGCTCTTCTTCGCGCACTCCTAGCATTTCTGCATTCCTTTTGATTGCATTATCGGTCAAACCAAACTGGTCTCTGTAAAACATGATTTCTTCCAGCATTATAGCAAGATCCACAGCTGTGCCAACGCCTGGAATTGGAACTGCTCCAGCCACTGCAGATGTCAATGAAATGAATTGAATTCTTTTTTCAAGTTCCTTCTTCTTCTGAAACATTATTTCTTCAGTTTGACCAATAATTGAAAAGGCCATGGCCTCTCGCTTCAGGTGTGGTGTGTCCTCAATTAGCTTTGCTTTTAGCCTATTGAAATCAAAGTCATTTGGTTCAAAGTTGTCGATCAAGTAAACGAGACTGTCAAATAAACGATGTTTGTCGAGGTTCAATAGACAGTCGATTTGTATTTTATTTAAAATGTCATCTCTAGAACGCGGAAACGATCTACCTTTTGCATCATTGGAAATATCAATAGATACTTTGGTGCGTAAAAAGTAGAACTTTTTACCCATCTTGCTTATTTTTCTTGCCAGCCATCCATCGTTTTCTGAAAATCGCTCAGATGAACATATAAGAAAAAAGTCATATTTTGCAAGTTTGACTTGATCATCATAATTTTCTCGTTTGAAGTTATCCGTACCAACTCCAGGTAAATCCCAAAATACTACATTTTCGTATTTTGGATGTTTGTAATACTTGATAGTTTTCGTGGCTTCAATGACATCAGTATGAGCGCCACCCTCTTCATCCGATTTAAGTCCCCGAATGACATTGATAAAAGTTGATTTTCCAGCTCCGGATTCTCCAGTAATTGCAATATGCAAGTAAGTTTCACGCCATTTATTGAGCCTTTCTTTGGTATATTTTTGTATACCTGCAATACCATACTTATTGAACATGTCAGAAATTAACTCTTCTTCTTCAGCAGGAACGTTGCCACACTCAAACGATTCTTTGCTAGCCATCATTTAATTTAGTTTATAATGGCACTGAAATATATAACAATATCGACCCTATTAATTGCAGTACAAAAGTTTCGGCAAGATTGAAGTAGTTCAAAAATTTAAGCTGCATTGATTTTTTTATTAAAACATACATCCAATATACGAGTTTATTTGATATTGACATCTACATATTAGATAAACTTGTTTACTTTTTTATTAAAAAGACATTTTTATAAAGTGATAGTTTTGAAAAATAACATCAATTTAATAATGTTTGATTTTATCGATGTGCAAACACTAAATATGCCAAAACTTCAATTCGATACGATGACCTTGGTGCATGTAACAGGTGAATGAGTATATAGGCATGCTTCAAATTCCTATTTTCCATAATAGTAAATAAATAAGTAACGAAACATATCACTTATGGTTTAATGAAATATATCATTTGTATTTATATTTAATTTATATTTCAATGAATATTAACACATGATAAAATGTACACTTCGTTGTGAAATATGTCATCATTAGTCATCAAATATTTTTTTTCGTTCTGTGCGTCATTAAATTGTTCAACTTTTATTTACCTTTGAAATGCATTTTGTGCAGATATACATGTAAATAAGTACTTCAAATGCATATATGCATGTAAAAATAGTCCATATATTCATTAATTGAACTTTTCAAAAACAAATTGTGTAAAGAATAATGAAATGTGACATTCAAAGTTTAATGCCACTTTTACTTATGAATTTTCGATAACTTTTTCTTATTTCTACTTTTGCTTTCTTTCTTCTAAGTATATTTCGTAAAAAAGTCACAAATGGTTATTTTGTTTTCGTTTTTGTATTTACATTTTCCTACCATTATTTCGATTAGAACATCATATGTTGTTCCATGAAAAACTTTTACTTCTGATTTTTAAAGCAAAGGGGGTCCCTTTTTTGCAAAATCATAAAGATGTCTATAACTTGTTTTTTTCTATTTAACTATTAACCTAATATGTACATGTATTTATTAATTATCTATGCATGTGTATTTCAGCCGTTTTCTTGTTGTTTCTTTTGCTTACATATCATAAGAGCCAATATGAAAGGCTATGGAAATTCATTCACAAGAGCACAACCTTATTTCTTTGATATGACATATATCATTTTAGATAATAAAAATGAACAAAGTTATATTTTTTGCTTCAAAGACAATTGTATAAACTCTTACCTCTTGCTTTGAATATTATTTCTCCTCTCTTCAAGGTTTAAGGTTTAATGTTTGAAGTCAAAACATAAACATGCAGTTAGCTAAATTGGTTACAGATCAACAAAGATATATAAACATTTTTTGGCAACGCATTGATACGCATTGAAATGCAATGTTATTTGTCCTTATTCATGTCCTATTCAATATCAATGTAAATAAGTTACAACTTTGTTCAGACCGTTGTGTATTTTTTAATCTATTATTAAAGAGGGAGTGTTTAAATTTTTGCCTGGTATGTTTGTCAGGTTTTTCGTTTGTTTGTTGTTTTTGCTTTTTTTGCTTTTTTGTTGTGTTTTTTTGTTTGTTTGTTTTATTGTGTATGTTGTTGTTGTGGTTGTTGTTGCTGCTGTTGCTGTTTGTTGTTGTTTGTTGTTCCTGTTTTTGCTTTATATTTTGTTGCTATTGCTGTTGCCTTTATATTCGTGTTTTTTTTAATACGCGTACGTACATTTAGCTTACCTTCATATCGGATTTGCTTCAATGGATGAACGCACATGAAATAAAATAAAGGACAGCTTTCTGTCTATATCTCCTATGTACAAAAAGATTTTCATTTAAAATATGAATACCAAATTTATATTACTGAATGAACTATAGGTAAGCATAAAAGTATTATTTACATTCTTACGTGACTTCCCGTTGTATAGAAACAATGTTTTGTTTTGTTATTGTTTGTAAATGTAAATCAATAGTACAATGTGACTCGTTGATTCAACTTGCAAATCATTTTTGTGCTGTCACGATTTAAAGACAAATATTGATCTCTTTATGTTTTTCTCTTACAATCTATAAACGTTCATTGTTCTTGGTCTCATGTTTTTGCATATAATTAATATAATAAATAATATAATATGAAAATAAGCACAGGTTTGCGTGTTTCAGTTCAAGAAAATTACGTAACTATTGGTAATATCAGTTATACGTTACTACCGATATATCTGAGGAAATGTTGTGGCGCTGACAAAAGAGTTACATTATTTGATATTATAATAGGTTTTGAAATAGTTAACTGAGGAATTATGGCAACAAGATTTTGTAAAGGAGTAAAAATCAACGTATAGCCAGAAGACTGCCAATGTATTAACTGTCCTACCTTATATGATGTTAAACAAACCTAAGTTAGCTTGCACCAACCTTCCGGTTTCCCCTATCAGTTGAAAGAAAACATATCACTAAGAAACAATAGAATGAAGGTCAACATTCTTTATCAATGTGACTTGACTTTAGTGCTATTAATTACTGACTTTGTATTAACAAATGTTTTTTGATAGAAATCCATATATTTTAAAAATCTGAAATAATTTACTACTTTCAAAACTATCCAACTTTTGACACCACTGTTTCGGTGTTAAAATATAAAATGTATAAACGTTTCTAAACATAGGTTCAGAGGTTACCTTTTTAGCTCACCTGTTACAAAGTGACAGGGTGAGCTTTTGTGATCACTTTTCGTCCGGCGTCCGTCCGTCGTCCGTCCGTCCGTCCGTCGTCCGTCCGTTAACTTTTACTTTAAATGACATCTCCTCATAAACCACTGAGCCAATTTCATCCAAACTTCACAGGAATGTTCCTTTGGTGGTCACCTTTGAAAATTGTTCAAAGAATTTAATTCCATGTAGAACTCTGGTTGCCATGGCAACCGAAAGAAAAAACTTTAAATATCTTCTTTTAAAAAAAACATAAGAGCTAGAGCTTAGATATTTGGCATGAAACATCTTCAAGTGAGTGTCTACCAACTTTGTTCAAATAAAAGCCCTGGGGTCAAAATTGGCCCCGCCCCGGGGGTCATTGATTTTCCCTATATGCATAGAGTAAAAACTTAAAAAATCTTCTTTTAAAGAACCCAAAGAGCTAGAGCAAAGATATTTAGCATGAAATATGTTCTAATGGGTGTCTACCAAGTTTGTTCAAATAAAAGCCTTGGGGTCAAAATTGGCCCCGCCCCGAAGGGTCATTGATTTTCCCTATATGCATATAGTAAAAACTAAAAAAATCTTCTTTTAAAGAACTCAAAGAGCTATGGCTAAGATATTGAGCATCAAACATGTTCTAATAGGTGTCTACCAAGTTTGTTCAAATAAAAGCCCTGGGGTCAAAATTGGCCCCGCCCCAGGGGGTCATTGATTTTCCCTATATGCATATAGTAAAAACTTAAAAAATTCTTTTTAAAAGAACCCAAAGAGCTAGAGCTAAGATATTTAGCATGAAACATGTTCTAATGGATGTCTACCAACTTTGTTCAAATAAAAGCCCTGAGGTCAAAATTGGCCCCGCCCCGGGGGTCATTGATTTTCCCTATATGCATAGAGTAAAAACTTAAAAAATCTTCTTTTAAAGAACCCAAAGAGCTAGAGCAAAGATATTTAGCATGAAATATGTTCTAATGGGTGTCTACCAAGTTTGTTCAAATAAAAGCCTTGGGGTCAAAATTGGCCCCGCCCCGAAGGGTCATTGATTTTCCCTATATGCATATAGTAAAAACTAAAAAAATCTTCTTTTAAAGAACTCAAAGAGCTATGGCTAAGATATTGAGCATCAAACATGTTCTAATAGGTGTCTACCAAGTTTGTTCAAATAAAAGCCCTGGGGTCAAAATTGGCCCCGCCCCAGGGGGTCATTGATTTTTCCTATATGCATATAGTAAAAACTTAAAAAAATCTTCTTTTAAAGAACCAAAAGAGTTACAGCTAAGATATTTAGCATGAAACATATTCTAATAAGTGGCTACCAAGCTTGTTCAAATAAAAGCCCTGGGGTCAAAATTGGCCCGCCCCGGGGGGTCATTGATTTTCCCTATATGCATGAAAATAAAAACTTAAAAAATCTTCTTTAAAAGAACTCAAAGAGCTATGGCTAAAATATTTAGCATCAAACATGTTCTAATAGGTGTCTACCAAGTTTGTTCAAATAAAAGCCCTGGGGTCAAAATTGGCACCGCCCCGGGGGTCATTGATTTTCCTTATATGTGTATAGTAAAAACTTTAAAAAAAATCTTCTTTTAAAAAGCCCAATGAGCTAGAGCTTAGATGTTTAGCATGAAACATCTTCTTATGGGTGTCTACCAAGTTTGTGCAAATAAAAGCCCTTGTGTTAAATTGGCCCTGCAACGTTGGGGGGTTGTGGGGGGCCTATATACAGGTGAGCGACCTCAGGGCCATCATGGCCCTCTTGTTTCTTGTTATGTAATGTTGTTAAATAGTTTGGTTAGGAAAAGTGGTAAAAAAGATTTCATAATGAAGGTAAATTCTAATCCTTAGGATGAGATCACCCTTCGAATGCAAAGGGAAATAAAACACAAATATTGATTTAGTTTCAATCAACCAAATTTTTATTTAACTAATTATAACTAAACAAGTTATCAATATGTTCTTGAAAAGAAACAGTTCAAATTTAACAACAGTATGATAATCAAAATATACTAGTTCAAAAGAAGAGGAGACAGGCTGAAAGACTGTACAAATAAAATAATCAACTGAAATATGAAAAATAACATAAATTTTACTGACCAATAAATAGAAAATATTTATGTAGTAACAAGCCCTGTTTTAATCCACATCAACAAAATAAAGATCTTATAGTTCGCTGCCAGTAAGAGCATAGAAAAGATTATAAATAATCTGATTTACTTCAGTAAAAAGGAAATTACTAAACTTACTTACAAATTTATCAAAAATGTTTCAGTGAATTTAGATAATCTCTAGGGTGTACATAATGCGAAGGTGCTTAAATTATATTTAATAATCAATAATTAACCTTAGTGAACTTTAAGAGATGCTATTGCTTCAAAAACTAGTAAATGAATGTCAAAACTCCCTAAGATGTCCGGGTTAAATGAAATTCTGAATTGATCTGCAAATTTCACCTAATCAGAGTTTACTTAACAAATGCTTTAGGTTTATCATTCTTTACACAACTATTCTAATAATGATTCATGGAAAAGTGTAACATGCAAAAATATTTACGTTTTCTAAAAAAGACTATTATAATATCTAAGTATTACACAGCAGTTAAAAGAATCAAAATACTACTATGAAAGTAAACATATTTATAAACATGTGAATACACAATCAACATCATAAATCTCACTAGGTTAAAAACCTATTGTAAGTGAAAGATGAAAAAGTATATATACCTATATGCAAGACTCTTAAGCCATGCTATGTGACTGTAAGAGAATATCGTAAAAATTTACAATACACTTACATCCAAGTTAAAGTTCAAATCCTTAGTGTTTCTTCAACAATATAAATGTATATGATTATCATATATGCTGAGTAATATTATGCTATATTATGTAATAATTACATACCCTGTTTAGTTTGAATCCAACTTTACAACAGAATCATCATGAGTGTTTTAAACTTACTCCAACTATCTGTGCTATAAATTCTTATTAGTTGTTTAAAGGTCTTTGTAACAGATAAATTTACAATTGATTATTATATCAATTAAAAATCAATATATATTCATAACTTTACAGAAGTTTAATATAACTTTATAAATCTTTAATATAAACGTCATAATTGACCAATCAATATTGTTGCAACAACTTTCATTTTATGATAAATCAAATGAAAAATGGCCAATTCTAATCTCAAAAGTTGTTAATCTGAAACAAATATAAAAAAGAAAAACAGTTGTTGTGTAACATTTAGACTATCATTATGATAATTGTGTTATAGAAATTGAAAATTAATGTTTCCAAAATCATAAAGATTATCACATTGGGCATGTAGATTTACAATAATAAAAGTTTTAACCTCAATAAACTTTGAATGACGAAAATATTATTCATGCTGAACAGCAAATAAGTAAGGGAATTGTAATGTTCTTACTTCAAACATATTTACATAAACATAATGACTTTTTGAATGTGAGAAATTTGCAAGTCATGGGACGTTTGTCAATAAAAAAACGAAGAAAATCAATAACGAAAAAAAGGAAAAATATTTGTTTAAAATGTAAGACAAAAATGTTTTTCATTCATAATCACAAGCCGTTACCATAGTTTTGCAATGTTCCACCAGATATTCACTTTGCAAATTACATCCGATATTATATAATTAATATTTAGTATGATCTGAAATACTTCTTAGGTAAGGAAACTATAATGCGAGTGTATATTTATGGAACACTTTGCATAGAAAGAAATGATTTCAGTTGTTAAAAATAAAACGTCACGTCTAAATGAAGTTGAAATCGTGAATTCGTGAAGTTGAAATCGTGAATTCGTGAAGTTGAAATCATGAATTCACGACGTTGAATTCGTGATGTTGAAATCGTGAATTCATGAAGTTGAAATCGTGAATTCATGAAGTTGAAATCGTGAATTCGTGAAGTTGAAAACGCGAATTCATGAAGTTGAAATTGTGAATTCATGAAGTTGAAATCGCGAATTCGTGAAGTTGAAATCGTGAATTCACGAAGTTGAATTCGTGAAGTTGAAATCGTGAATTCATGAAGTTGAAATCGTGAATTCGTGAAGTTAAAATCGTGAATTCATGAAGTTGAAATCGTGAATTCGTGAAGTTGAAGTCGTGAATTCATGAAGCTGAATCGTGAATTCGTGAATTCCGTATTTTGAAAACGGGAACGCACGAAGTTTAAATTGTGAATTCATGAAGATGAAATCGGGAATTCATGAAGTTGAAATGGCCCTACCGGTCTTTCGTTGGATTCCCCCAAAAACAACTTAATGTTAACGAAATCGACAAGGACTTTATTTGCTGGAATAGTTTTTTAATAAGTCATTTAATACAACTCACACAAGCAAAACATTATAAACAGTTGTCATGTAAAACTTCATATCTTTTGACACTAAAAAAATGGCTACAATTCAAAAATGTGTTTTTAACGATATCCTTTTAATTATAAAAAAGACTTGGTGCGTATAACGACTATATGGACATACATATTATTGTCACAAGCTTTTATAAAGTATTTAAAACTTAAAACAGCTTGAAAAAATTTTGTCTACACTACCTCAGGCTAGACATTTCACTCAAATATAAACGCACAAAAATCATGTTTAATCCTTTTGTTTATATAATAAGATAGAGAAGAAGTTGTTAAACTGACGATGATTGTGCTAAATGCATACTCAGTTTCGTGTTGATTTTCAAAGAATCTTGGTACATCCCTTCAAGAATTTTTGTCATGCAGTAGGAAGTTGACTTGTATGATAATATGCCAGCTATGGCGCTTCCTATAACAGGTAACACGAGCTTTGTAACTTCTTCCGCTGCTTGCGATATGAGAAATGCATTTAAGAACGCTAGTAACTTTTTTGTGCAATTCATGAACAATTCTTTCTTATCAAGTTCGCTTTTCAGCTCTTCTGTGCGCACTCCTAGCATCACTGCACTCTTTTTGATTGCATCTTCGGTCAAACCAAACTGGTCTCTGTAGAGCATGATTTCTTTAATCATTAGAGCAACATCCACAGACGGGCCAAGGCCCGGAATGGGAGCTGCACCAGCCACTGCAAATGCCAATGAAATGATTGGAATTCGTTTTTTAAGCTCCTTCTTCTTCTGCAACATTATTTCCTGTGTTCACCCAATCATTGAAAAAGCCATAGCCTCTCGTTTTAGTTGTGGTGCATCCTCGGTTAACTTTGCTTGTAGCATACCGAAGTCAAAGTCGTATGGTTCAAAGTTGTCGATCAGGTAAACAGGGCTGTCCGATATACCATATCCTTCGAGGCTCTGTAGACAGTCGATTAGTATATGACTCAAAATCTCATCTCTTGAACGCGGATATGCCCTACCTTTTGCCTCATTGGAAATATCAAGGGATACTTTGGTACGTACAAAGTAGAACCCTTTAACCACTATTCTTAGTTCTTTTGCCAGCCAGCCATCGTTTTTCTAAAAATCGCTCTGATGAAAATATTGGGAAAAAGTCATATTTTGCTAGTTTACATTGATCATCATAGTTTCGGGTGTGAAATTCGTCGTACCAACTCCAGGCAGATCCCAAAATACTATATTTTCGTTGTAAGGATGTTTGTAAGACTTGATAGTTTTCGTGCATTCTTTGATATCAGTATCTGCGGCACCCTCCTCTCCCGTTTTAAGTCCCCGAATGACATTGATAAAAGTTGACTTTCCAGCTCCTGCTTTTCCTTTTACTGCAATATGCAATGGAATTTCACGCCATTCATTAAGTCTTCCTATGACATATTGTATACCAGCAATACCATGCTTTTTGAATTCATCAACACATATATCTCCTTCTTCTGCAGGTACGGTGTTACACTCAAACGTACTGCTGCTAGCCATCTTTAATTTTGTTTTTGACCCTCCTTATTGCAACACAATCGTCAAAGTAATTTGCTTGTCATATACAGTTAAAATATTTCCATTCTATGAATATTTCAGTGTTGTTTCTTGTAATGAAGCAAACAAAATGATTTGTTGAAGATAAAGTTTTTCTAAAATATGACAATTATTATATTATATCAAATATTTATGCTTACTCGTATCGTTCAACAAACACTCTTGATGATAAAACTTACAAGATTACATTGGTGTCGGTATAGTTAATATACATGTACACTGTTTTTATCTTTCATGATACTGACATATTTTGAATAGGTAATGTTACGAATAATATTATATAATATAGTCCTGTCAATGTTTAATACAATATATCAGACATTTGGAAAAGCATCAAACTTGGCACGGATGTTAATTAAGACAAAAGAAACATTTTAGGCATGGGACAATTTTTATATTTGCCAATATGATTGCCTGGTTGCCATGGCAGCCTTTTTGAAACCACCATAAGATAAAATTAACATCTTCCTTCTCCAGTAGAAGATACTCTTATTGAAATAATCGAAGCTTTTCAAGTAACATTAGAAAATTTGCATTAAAAATATAATTAAAAGATAAACCCGTTCCCGTTCACATGTTTTAATGTTATTTTTTTTTCGTTGCCATGGAAAAAAGTTTATTGGGAATTTATAAAAAAGGTCTGTTTTTTGCGAAACAAATTCGTGGAAAAATTTAATATTTCTTTTAATTTTCTTTATTTCAATTTTTTTTATTTTTTAATCCTTATGACTAAATCCTTTAGGTTTAACTAAAAAAGGAAAAAGTTTCACAAACCCAACCCCCTTTTTTCAAAACCCTTTTTTAAAAAATTCAATTTTTTATCAGACGGGGGAAAAAAAAATATATCATGGCAAAATTTTTTGCAAACAATCCCCTTGGGTTGCCTGGGGCAGGGGAAAATAAAAATTTTTTCAAAGAGCGTATTTTCAAAAATGCTTCCTGTGTTATTTAAAGGTAAACAAAAAATTTCAAACTAAATTGGAAAAAAGATCTTTTTTCGTCTGCTTATTTTCTTCGATTTTGTTTGTTTTGTTAAACAAAATATTGTGTAACTGATCAAAATTGCCTTTAGCATGTTTAGCACAATTTCTAGTCAGCGAGCTGAAGTATAATACATCGAAACTGTTTTTTCCTGTAAACTAATGTCCTGATAATAAATGGTTGACATATAATAATGTGTATGTGTATTTACATTCAATGATATCACATGTCACATAACACATTTTATAATTAGCTGTAAAACCAAAACAATGTCATTGTGTTATAGAAACTCGTACCGTTCTCAAATTATTAGCTAGCGTACAATTTATCGCGGTTCAGTTTCACTCTCAAAAGTTCCACCAGGAGATTTGCTTGTTTATCCTTAATGCAGTGTCAGTACAATTTTGCGTCTTACTTTAGATGTGATTCATTCAATTTACTGTACAAAAGGTATTTTATACAGTTACTAGAATGATGTATTTATTTTTGTGGCATATGCAATTATTTTAGTTAAATGTTATTTTTTGTTATGGGCAAACATTGTTCATAGGGATGGTATTGTAGAGTATTTAAAAGTCCATCATTTCTGAAAACGGGCCCCTTTACCATCAAAGCTCAGAAAAATGTCCATAATTGGTTTACCGTGTTTTTTTGTTTTTTGTTTTTAATTTTTCATGCAAGTGTCCTTTAAGGCATTTGTGGCATATATATTATCAATATTTCACTTCCTTATAGTGCCCGTTCGGGTGATCATACCATAAGATATGCTTGATCATTGACTTGGAAAGTGATCACCAAATTGAGGTTTGGAAAATCGCATACGTAGAGGATTTTGAAAATGGATAATATAAGAGTAACTAGGTAGCCAATATAATATAGAATATTCATTCAAAGAATATAATATACACATGTTTTTTCATTATAATCATCGATTTACTATTCAATTTTAATGTGCATCTATATAAATTGCATGTGCATGATAAACTAAACAACTATTTAAATACTACATAAGTCGTTATGCATAGATATATTCTGTACTTTCTATCCATGTTAAAACATTATAACCTATATCATTTGGAGTATTGTTCAACAAAAGATTATTGAATAGCGATAATCCAAAACCAAAACGTTAATTTTGTTTTCTTTTAAGGCGATTTCTATTAGTTATATTAAATGCTCATGAGTATATAACTTTAACAATATTGTCTTATAAAAATTAACTCAAATGTAGATTGCTAGAAATTGAATATAATACGAGCGTGTAAGATCTTTTATTTTAAATATGCCCAAAATCGTTCACACTTTGTAAAAGTGAAGTGTCTCTACATATAAAGATAAATATGAACGGTAAAATCTGTAGTTAAATATTCTAATGATAAGTAACTTAAATATATATTTTTTATTTGATAAATTTTCAAATGTAAAGGTTAATTTGTATAAATTTCCTTTAATTAGACAGAATAAGTCTTGTAAATATAGTAACTATATAGTAACTCCTAAGGAATGTGCCGCTGAGCGGTCCTATGAAAATGCAGATGTAATTAAGTCCATCGCAAATTTGAATTCTTACACATTGAAATATTTGAATTTACAAAAGTTCTATTACACAAAATTACTTCCCTTTTTATAGAAAAAATAATATTGTTATATTTAAAACAATCTTTCTGGCCAGTACGTTGTACAATAGCTGTGATCTTTCTTTCTTTTAAATAAAATTGAATAAAATATACTGACGGAAAGTCTTGAACCATCAAACCTAAGATAAAGACAATTAAAGCAAACGATCAATCAATAAAATACCCTTTACATGAATAAACAATACACACAGCACACATTGTGTTTGATACGAAACGAATTAAACAATTAAAAACTAACAAATTACAAAAAAGAACTGTCCGTTTCTTTTTTGTGACCGTCCACATAATTTTTATTTCTGACAGTAAAGTCGCGTCTATTTGCACTGTTAGCAATACATTTAGTTACAAATGGAAGCAAAATATTCGTTTATATATGTGTGTGTGTGTTTATGTAATTTCCTTAAAATCTACTGTACGAGTATATTGCTTTAAATCGCAGTCAATTCAGAAACAGCTTGTTGCCTTAATTTCTAATTTCCTTTTAAACACAAATAATGTCAATTCTTTTGTTCTTTTTTACAGACAATATCGCATTAATTCAGAGTTGTTCTTCCATTTGAGAACTCAATTTTTCAAAAACTTTAACCGAAATATTGTATATGTCTTCAAGAATGGTCGTCAGGCAGTATGAAGTGGTTTTATACGACATCGCTCCTTTGATGATGCTACCTAGTATAGGGATTGCATATTTTGCGATTTCCGCTGAAGTAGCCGATACTTCAAAATGCCGACAGAGAGCTATGATTCCTTTCTTTGTGCAGTTTTGCAGAAAAATTCCCATGTCCAAATCTTCTTTCAGTTTTTCTTCTCGCAATCCTAAAATATCTGCAGTCTCCTTAATATCATCATCAGTCAATCCAAACTGCTCTTTGTAAAAGTTAACTTCTTTAATTAATATGGCATTATCAACCCATAGACCAACTCCAGGTATTGAAGTAGCTCCAGCTACTGCAGATGCCATGGAAAGCTTTGGGATTCTTTTTTCAAGAGCTTTTTTTCTCTCACTTATGACCTGCCCAGCATATCCTTTAATGGAGAGAAGTATCTCCCGTTTCCTCTTTTGGGCATCTTTAATTAGTTGTTTTGATAGTAGATCAAAATCATAGTGGTTTGGCGAAAGATTGTCGACAAAGTAAATAGGAATATCTGGAAAACCGTAGTAATGAAGAGTTTCCATACAGTCCGATCGTATTGCGGCTAGGATTTCTTCCGGTGTTCGGGTTTGTTTTTTTCTACTCCTTTTCTCTGCCCTGATGTCATTATCTACTTTTGTACGCACTAAGAAGAACCGTTTATCCATCTTCCTTATTTCATAATCTAGCCAACAGTCGTTTTCTGAAAAGCGCTCTGATGAAACAAGAATGAAATAATCATATTCATCCAGCTTCATTTTATCTAAATACTCCTTCTTTTTGAAATTATAACCGACTCCAGGTAAATCCCAAAATACTATGTTCTTGTGTGTAGGGTGTTCTTTGACATCTGAAAAAGCAGCCCCCTCGTCGTCCCCTGTGAGATTGATCATTGCATTGATGAGACTTGATTTTCCTTTCCCTGATCCTCCCGTGACTGCGACGTTTAAAGAAACGTTAAGCCACGAATCTAATTTTCCACGAGCATATTTATATAAACCATTAGCTCCACGCTCTTTTAACATAGTTGTAAAGCTTTTTTCATCCTCTTCTGTTAGAGTCGGACATACAACACTACTTTGCTCAGCCATCAGTTAATATGTTGACACAATACTGAAATAGAAAGTAATTTGAAATTAAAATTATGTTGAAATTTAATCACACTATCTTTGATATTAATTAATATGTTGTAATTTTTTAATGAACAAGTCATATGGATGTGCGTGTGCGCATGCGTGTGAATGTGTGCGTCACTTTCAAGTCAAAAAATCTACTTATGAGTTTAAGATTATAAAATTCATTGCTTAATCTTTTGACTTTTTAAAGAAAAATTAAATGACAGAAACTAGGAAGAAAATCATTATTTTAAACGGTAAAATGAATATGTAATTAGCCGTAACACCAGTTTACATTTTTTCACTTTAGAGACATGTGAACAGCCTTTTACACGAAAGTTTTGTACTTTAATATGTAATTTTGTTAAGACCAGAAGAAAAAATTGTTATAATATGCAAATTGAGGAAAAGATATGAAATCAAATATATTATTATATTTAGTTGTAAGTTTTTGTCTATTGTTTGTACTTTTACTCATTCTTTTTCCGTCAACTGTTAATAACCTGCTGTTAAAATAACACAATATGAAATCACGTTAAGTAGGAGTTAAGTAACTATTTATTAAAATGTTTTAAATTATTTCTGATACAAATATACAAACGCTTACCTCTTGCTTTTAATGCTATTGCTCCTATTTCGAAGGTATAAGTTTAATGTTTGAAGTAAAAACAAAGACACTGGTTGCTTAATTGGTTACATATCAATATATATATTTATATACAAAGAATATTTGGCAACGTATTGATCAGCATTGTCCTACTCAATTGAACTGACAGTACAGAAAGATTTTTGTTTAACATATGCAGATCAAATATCCATTCACCGAATTTACAAACATAAAGGCATAAAAAGTATTTATTTGCATTGTACAATTGTACATTTGTTAGCTCTCTCCTGATGACAATGAGCTCCAATATCGTCTATTAGACCAAAATACCCAGGGTATACCTGTCCTTAGCAACTAGTGAATTTATAGCAAATTTTGACATTCAATATTTACCAATGACTTCGATAGCAACTTTTGACTTCAAAAACGTTTGTGGACAAAAGGCTATTTATGAAAAAGGAAATATTGTATATATTGCAAAATCAATTAACTTTAAGGGCTTGATATTCTGCTGGATGTTTTCACAGTTATGATTTTTACAGCATAATACCAACAAACGCGTGGTTCTTGTGTTTTATTTCATAATGATTTGTAGACCAATTGTGTTGCATCTAAAAAAAGAGAGTTGAAAAGTTACTTAGATTTTGAAAAGATAAATCGATCATATTTGAAATCCGGGATATTTTCTTGTACTTTAATGTTTTAAATCAATAACAAAACAATTGGCAACAATTGTTGATTTATATGCTTTTAAGATGATTCTCTGTATTAAAGTATATTAGGAGCCATCCCCCGCCGAATGTGTTTGCCCATTGGAAGAATAAATATGTAGTAGAGCAGAATAATTCAATTTTAAGGAGTCTTTTGGTAATGAAAACTTATGGCTAGAGTGATAAAAGCTATTGAAACCTATGTGAATACTGATGACTTAAAATAACAAAGGGCAATAACTGAAAAATAATGCAGGGTAGTCTATCATTATTGTGTACTGCACTCCTCCTAAATTAAATCTATTAACCTATGAAGTTTCATATTGATATCTCAAAGGATTTTGAGTAATGCTTTGGACAAAAATTAAGTTTAAAAATTAACAAAGGGCAATAACTCAAAAATTATGCAGAGTAGAGTTATCATTCTTGTGCACTGCACTCCTCCTCATTATGATCTATCCACCTATAAAGTTTCAAGATGATACCTCAAATACTTTTTGAGATAAGCTCAGGACAAAAAGTATGACAAATAACAAAGGGCTACAACTCAAAAATTGTAAAGGGAAGAGTTATCATTCTTGCACACAACATTCCTCCGCATAGAAATCTATCGTCCTATGCAGTTTCATGTTGACATCTCAAATACTTTTTGAGTTATGCTCCACTCAGGTGAAAAATTAAGTATGAAAAAAAAACAAAGGACAATAACTCAAAAATTATGTCATTCTTGTGCACTGCAAACCTCCTGAGTGAGATCTATCCACCTAATAAGTTTCATTTTGATATCTCAAAGGCTTCTTGAGTTATGCTCTGGACAAAAATTAAGTTTGAAAAATAACAAAGGGCAATAACTCAATAATTATGCAGGGTAGAGTTATCATTCCCCAATATGAAGTTTCAATTTGATACCTCAAATTCTTTTTGAGATATTCTCCGGACAAAAATGTCGGACGGAAGGACGGACGGACGTACCAACTTTTGATATTTAAGAGGAAAATCAGCTCATAAACTACACCTGCAGTGGACGTAAGTCCATAAGCTGAATTTAGCTCATAAACACAAAAAATAGCTCTTAATTTGAATTTTATTAGTTTTTGTTCTTTACTTAACTACGGAATGAAGCTCATAAATATCAAATGTTTGCTCGGACGGACAGATGGAGACTATTTCTATATCCCCCGGCGCCTGTGGCGGCGGGGATAATAACCAACGGAATCAATTTAATTATTTAATGATACAGTTATAACAAGGGTATCGACAACAAGAAGCACCTTTAAAAAGATACTCGGTCGAAATGCTTATTTTTATCTAAGTTTTCGATATTATTGTTTAGAAATGATAGTAATGCTTGTATAACAATTACAGAATTTCTCTTGAAGCTAAGAAAAAAAATCCATTTTTGTAAATATAGTAATTAAAGTAAAAACATACTGATATTGATGTCTTTCTCAAAGGACAATTTCCATTTTACAGTCCCGTTTACTTGATTTTACAATTGACATTGTACATTTTGTAATCATATGCAATATTTGCAATATTATTAAAAGAACCACATGTGAAATATTGCAAATACAATAAAAGGATAGTGTAAAAGTCAGTCAACAAACTGCTTATGAACATTTTATTTTTATACACACCCCCCGAAGGGCGGCATATAGCAATCGCACTGTTCGTCTCTCCGTCTGGTGATCTTGTCCACGCTTCATATCCGAAACCGCTTGGGAATTTCGGTGAAACATCACATTATTGTTTGCCACTATGCCTAGTTGTGCATAGTATCTTGATTTTTCGCTTGAACTTTCGTTGGCCCAGTTATGGCACATAAATGGTCAATTTTCGAGTAAAATTTGCTAGTCAGTGCTTCTGGGGGGATTTTGTTTATATGGAGGCTATTCGTTGCCAAAAATCCAGCCTTGATCTGAGTTGAACAGTTTGTTAACGGACAAAATACAATTGTATTTCTTTGTATGTAAACTCCAATGTTGCATTCTTGGATTGAGTTTCCCGATTTAATATTGTAAACATGCATTTCAACAAAATACATTTTGTTAAACGACAGAACATTAACTGTTTTGCTGATAGTAGCAATACCAAGTGTTCGAATACTCATTGTTCGTGTATACGCCGACAAAACAGAAGTTACATTCTTAGCTTTACATTGTCGAACCATCATGATTCGGATCAGCATAATCCAGCTTTACACGTTTTTCAAAAGGAAATGAAATAAGCTCCGCCCATTTTCCACGCCCACTACATCATCGTAAATAAACATATTACCCGCTCATTTTCGGTATTTACCGTCGGCGACAAGAAGCGGCGTAGTTTCCGTTTACCACGCCTTTTAGGTGTTATAGTTATTCACCAAACATAATTCACTTGCATGATTGCCATTCTATGTCTTTATAAAATCAACATCAGCGGACTTTAAAGGATTATAGGCATATAAGTTTTAAACTTTGTAGATACCACATTTCCTAGAAAAGGAAACTAAAAAAATAATAAAAAACTCACCAGGCTACTTACTGCCTGAGGTTAAATATTTTTCAAGGAAGTAAAATCTATTGATAAGACTATATTCAACGACAAATAAATTTTACTGAGGGTATTCCAATTTGCATAGGAATGAGTAACATTTACAGTTAAGCTGCTACCTTACCACTTTCAAATTTTCAAGTCAACATCTGATAGAGATTTTGATACGACTAATTACTAATACAGACCATATTCTGCTAGTAGTAACATTTACTATTACATTAGTAACCTTAATTCTAGCGTATGACTTGATAAGAAAAAACTTTTAACAATAGTAAAATCATAACCAAAGTTGTATGTACCCTTTCGTACATTACTTTTTATTTATACCATATTGTATAGATAAATTTTCCCATTTTGACCATTTTGTTTTTCAATAAATAAATAATATCTAATAGTATATGAGTCCAAAGTATGTATGTTGAGTATCAATTTATGTATATCTTGTTTATTTTATCTCTTAGAAAGCCATCACTTACAAAACTTAATAAATTTTTTGTGTAGTATTTCATGTACATAAAAATAGTTCTCTGCTTTTGATCAGATAGACAGCAAGTCTAGGGTAACAGCTATTGACAGCACGTATACACAGATTTTAGAGTTGCTATTGATTCAGTACAATGCATGAAAAGACCTTAACCTACAGCAGCTTACCCATATTTAATAATAAAAGCTAAATAACCTCCTATGACTCAAAATACATCCCAATGGAGGTAAACAGAGATGCTAGGATACACTGAATATTTATTTCAACATTAAAATGGAACAAATTCACAAGATTTTGGTTATACAACGATATTATCGATAGTAAACTTTGAATTATTTCGTGGCAAAAATATGGGTTTTTCTACAACCCATTTATAGTCCTTTAAAGAAAGAAGGCACATGCTTACTGTTCAGTTTTCTTTATTCGTGTTGCCAAAAGTGACTTCCATGTATCGCATTCTAGTACTATTTGTTGAATGTAAAAGAAACGCCGTGTAACGTTTGAAGGCACACAAACCCTATCGTTCATATCAACGAAAATTGGTGTGTGTGTCATTTATATATGGGAAACATTCCCTTATGTTAATTCACCAACTTTAGTTTTTGCATATTATTATGCTCATTATCAGTATAAACGTTGTTACATAGAGGATATTTGTTTAGTTCAGTGTAAGATCGGAATATATTTCACCGAGTGAGAACCAAAAGGTATATTTCACGAGTGGCGCAGCCACGAGTGAAATATGAACTTTTGGTGTTCACAAGATGAAATATATTTCGATCTTACACTAAACTAAACAAATTTTCTTTTTATTACATGCAAAGAAACGTTTTAAAAAGACATTAAACCTAAAACTGAATGAAAAGCGCGCCAAATAATAATACAACGTGACGTCATTTACGACGTCACGTCATTAAGTTGGTACCCAGTACTGTGCAAGCTGGTATTTTACTGAAACAACGTACGGGGCTTAAATTCAAAACAGTGAAATTATCAAAGTGGTAATTTCACTGTTTCAAACAGTGAAATTACCAATTTTATATCACTGATATATTTCTATAAACCACCGAAAAGCATGTAATAAATTGTTACATTATATCTTAACCAATTTTGCATTACTTGAATATCATGTACTAGAATTCGTTTAACAAAATCAGAGTATTTTCAAAGTCAACTGTAATGCAGTTGATGAATTTGAAATTTATAACAGTTTCTATATAATTTGAAATGTTTTTGTACCAGCAAGAGTTACCTCTCTTTATATTCTGCTTTCGTGAAAATTGGCTCCGCCTATTAATTTTCGTCTATTTCCGTGATAATTCCATATATGGAAGTTGCAAAATCGTTTACAAATGTTAATCGCGTTAGAATGAAAAAGGAAAGTGTGGTGTTGTAAACCTGAGTGTGTCAAGTTGATGCAGTTACAGTCTCAACGTCATGAT